TGGAGTGCAACTCAGTTAACAACCTTAATTTAGCAACAGAGATCCTTGTCACAGTTATGGTCATAAGTCAAGGACTATGTGTATTCCCCAACTCTGAAATACGCAGGCTCTCTTCTGGAAAAGTTAATATTTTCCATTTTTGTACCTCTATAACTGTCTAGTTGGAACAGCAACCAAACAAGACAGGCACAGACTTCAAGGGATAGTTAGGACCGCAGAAAAAACAATCGTAATCAGCCTGCCTTCCACTGAGGACCTGTACAGCCATTTGTCTGAAATGGTATAGGGTTTCCTGCCTGAGCAGGGGGTTGGACTAGATGACCTCCAAGGTCCCTTCCAACTTTTTATTATTATTGTTGTTGTTGTTATATACTGCACAAACCAGAAAGAGGGCTGAGAAAATATCTACAGACCCCTCACATCCTGGACATAAACTGAGGTTTTTTTTAATAAATATTTTATTAATTTTCTAATTTTACAGTCAAATACTTAATAGACAACGTGTTGTCTCGGTCCATTAGTAATTCAGTGGTCTATATCAGTGGTGGCGAACCCATGGCATGTGTGCCAGAGGTGGCACTCAGAGCCCTCTCTGTGGGCACGCGCGCCATGCCCCGGAGATGGCAACCGTCCCTCTTCAACTAGCTGCCCGCTAACTCGCCGAGGTCCCACATGGCTTGATGCATCCCAGCCCCCATGTGCTCGCTGGCCTCTGTGTGTGGGGGCCGATGGTGTCTGGCAGCAGCCGCCCCGGCCCCTGCCTCCCCTTGCCCTGTGACAATGGCACCCCCGCCCTGCCTCGCCTTGCCTCGCCTCACCTCGCAGGATGAGCCTCCTGCCCACCGCCCCACCTGCCAGAGACCCCCTGGATCTCCCCCAACCCTGCCCGGACCCCACAGGCGTCCCTCCCCACGAGCAACATTGAGGTGATCACGCCCACCTTGGCCACACCCACCCAATCTGCTATGACCACCACAGCCATGCCCACCCAGTGGGCCATGCCCACCTGGCACCCGGCAATAAATAAGTGGGTTTTGGGTTGCAGTTGGGGCACTCGGTCTCTAAAAGGTTCGCCATCACTGGTCTATATGAACTTCTTCAGTGTAGATCCAATATTACACTCTCAAATGTTTCCTCCTTTTTTTCCAGTAGTACCTGTTTTCCCATACTAAGGAAGTACAATCCTTATTGTTATTAATAAATAAACAATTGAATATCAACATCTTTGTTACATTTTTCTCATGATATCAATAATGTTAGTTTTAGATAACTTTTCTAACCAAAACATATCTTAATTGCATATGTCCAATCAGTATCCTGTTTTCACTTTTTAAAAAAAAAATTAATTTCCTCTCAGTATTCAAAATGTCTCTATTGTTTATAATTCCAAAGTAAGTTATATTTGGGTAACCAAAGGATTCCCTTATTCAAACTCTTGGCATTTTCCTGTTTCCCTTCTCATACCAAAATCTAATATTCTAATTACAAATCTTATCTTTCTAGTTATGATAGTGCTTATATTTCTAGCAATTATCTATTCTCCACCATATTCAAACATCTAGTCCAGGGGTCTTCAAACTTGGCCCTTTTATGACTTGTGGACTTGTGGACTGCAACTCCCAGAATTCCTCAGCCAGAATTCAACTCCCAGAATTCCTCATAATCATAATCATAAGTATTAATAATTAGTATATCAGGAAGACTTACTGACTATTGAAGAAACCAAACTGGCCTACAAGAAAGACCAAATGAAGAACAGAATAGAGGCATGGGAAGGCAAAGCACTATATGGCTAGTTCATTAAAAAAATAGCTGGGAAAGCAGATAATAACAAGACCTGGCAATGGCTAAGAGCAGGAAAGTTGAAGAAAGAGACCGAGGGACTAATTCTGGCTGCACAAGACCAAGCCTTAAGGACAAATACAAATAAAGTCAAAATTGAGAAGACAGCAACAGACAGTAAGTGCCGCCTATGCAAAGAAGCTGAAGAAACAGTGGACCACCTGGTAAGCTGCTGCAAGAAGATCGCACAGACTGACTACAAGCAGCGGCATGACAAAGTAGCAACAATGGTGCATTGGAAGATCTGCAAGAAATATCATTTGCCTGTAAGCAAGAACTGGTG